CTTCATGGCATGACAGGGTGGTGTTCTTAACACCTCGATCTACCGCAGTCGCGTGATGGGTATGGAGGTTCTTGAGACAAGGTGCAGGACCTGCCGCGAGGCGTCCGAAACCCTTATGCACTTGCTATCAGCATGTCCAGCATATGCGGTTTCGGCCTATATCCATCGACATAACGCTGCACGAAAAGTGCTTTATTAACATTTACGGTACTCTTACGGTATTGACGAGATACAAGTGTTGCCCTATGCTCCGGGGGATATTGAATCCGTTTTGAGGAATCAGAAGTGACAAATCCATCCGTTCTCCTCCCTCAGGCTCATGCAAGTTAATGAGCCTAATGTAGTCTTTCTTTCACTTAACCCGATATGGCACCAGGGGGTAGTGTGAATGAAGTTATAGTTGGGATTGAACCCACCTATGTGTGAATAATCAGCTTCAGTTTGAACTGAGTAGTTCAAGCTTGGCAATTGAGTTTGGTATCGATTTCTTCAGCAAAAACACTATTGATGAAAATGATAAATATATGAATATTTTAGGTTCCAATCAACTCTCTACAAAGGCATAGATACTAATTCGATACGTATTGTTGCAATTTTTATATCAAATTTTAGATTATGAATAAAGATTTTTATTGAAAATATAACACACTGAAAATGTCATTGAAATTTCAATTTTTCTTTAGAACAAACACGTCACTTGATACAAATTAGTTATCATTAGTTACTATTATTCCATGACCTTCATTAGATATATTTTGTTACGTCGCTAAAAATAATTTCGAATCAGGATTTTATTTTATGAGCTCTTAATGAATCCAAGGTAAGAAATTTCACGGTTTGAGGGTATGCAATTTGGCAGTCCATTCAAAACAATAATACAATTGTCCAGACAGATAGAAAATCTGACAATTTCAATCTTCTCTGCCCTAAGTGCCAGTAAATATTTGGCAATATCTCTTCTCATTATTCTTTTTGATACTTTAATGTACTGGGGCAAAGGAAACATTTTTTCACTGTGAAATTGCAATATTCTTCTTGAAAATGTACTGCCTGGGTTATCTACTGAAATGTTATGGAACACGGCAAATGCATTTTCTATACAAGTCGTGGGTTTTTCCGAATGCCCATATGGATGTTTGTCCTAGCCAGACGCTTGGCTTCTTCTGCCATTCATTATTTTGTACCGCATTGACTCCGCCTATTACTGTCCTATTGATTGATTTTTCTTGCCAAAATCATTCTATTCCAAAACTTATCATATCTATCTAAAAAGTTTAGAACATTTTTGTCCAGTATATAGTTTTAGAAAAAGTTCTTGAGCAACCATTGTAGCGAACACTCGCTTTAAATTAAACTTGGAATCAGTTGCTCAAATTTTCAATTTGGTGCAAGTCTTATTACTAGACTTTTACGTAACCGTCCTATAAAGTAACTTGACAATTCTTAAGCCCAATTGTCACTTTTGGAGTAAAATATAATCGTCAATTTTATTCGTAATACCAAAATCTCGCGGTAATCTAATTGTGAGTCACACATATTTCAAAAATCGATAAAACTCAATGCCAAAATTTGAAGTAATGGCTGTAAAGGTGTACTTGCAATTAATACTCAAAAGTATTTTTGATCTGCTCTATTTACAATCTCTGGCCAAATTTTCAATTCGGTACAAATCTACTATACTATACTAAACCAGTAATTGCCGAACTATCTCGGACTAATAGATCGAATACACTCTCTCGCGAACATAAATGTGTTTGCTTCCATGATGGCTGGTTTACCTCTCAAGTTCGTGCTATCAAAGACACCTGTCTTCTGTCTTAATACTCCTTCTCGATTCACACCAATTCGTACCCTTCTCATCACATTCTGAATCAACAACCTCTGCCGTATAACTGGAATTAAATTGAATATTAAGGAGCTTCTTGCAAAATATTTACGCTCGCTCCGACCTTTATTTGGTGAGGCCTAAGAATAACTTAAAGATTTATTAGGGGTAATATTAATTGTAAGCGGTATAGCATTCTTAGAATGAGCAACAAGTTTTTGAGTAATTTAACATAATTTACAGTTTGCGTTTAATAAAAAATGCTTTGGAAGAAATTGTCTGAGAAATGACGTTTGAAGTGATTTATATTGATTGCAGAATATTGGTGTCAGCCAGAAAAAATTATTTATATGTGCTTTTATCAAAAGCGTCAATGCTATGGAGTCTCATCAAAGACATCAAGCTAGACAATGAGCTGTAACAATGAAGGAGCATCACGATAGATGTGAGAAGGTCGCAGTGAATCAGGCCAGGGGCTAGCTCCCTGACAATCTAATCTAATCGGAAGCGTTCTCTGGGAAGAACCATCCGTACCTACAATTTTGCATTGCTGTCGCAGTAATGTTTGAATGATTTTTTATACATTGAAATTCGAGCTAGCTCATCACTGATGACTTGAGCATAGACACAGATATGTATGATCCATCATTTTAGTTATCCGATCTGCAATGAAGGGGATTAGAATTGCCTTTCCTAGTAAGGTGTTACCCGTATAGCTGAAACTTCTCATAAATGACGCCTCATCTTGAAATGTGTCTATCTATGCCAATAGTATGTGTGACTCTGCATACCGGTAGCCCTGTTATCGTAGATAGTCTTGTCATGGTAATGCAGGGCACTGTCGTAACATTCCTCATTTTCCAATCTACTGGTGAGCCCCTTCATGCACCGTGAGTAAACAAATAAACTTATTCTGAGTCTATAGAGAAGATAGACGTTGAGTTACTAAACCCAAGTGTTTTTCTGTAATATCGCATCAAAAGCTGCTAGTTCTCCTACTCTTGATGATGTTAACAAACACAGGAAGCTTGGTGGGGCAGCCAGGAAACCACCCAACCAGCAAATGCTAATTGATTGTATCAGATGATCGTTGAACACAATACAGTTGTAGGCAATAAAAGTGTTTTATAAATTTGTCATAGAAACGTTTATGAAATAAAATTAAAAAACCATTATAAAATAAGCTAGCTCATCACTGATGACTTGAGCATAGACACAGATATGTATGATCCATCATTTTAGTTATCCGATCTGCAATGAAGGGGATTAGAATTGCCCGTATAGCTGAAACTTCTCATAAATGACGCCTCATCTTGAAATGTGTCTATATATGCCAATAGTATGTGTGACTCTGAACCCACTTAGTTCAGTATATATATTACAAAACCCTCGGCATACCGGTAGCCCTGTTATCGTAGATAGTCTTGTCATGGTAATGCAGGGCACTGTCGTAACATTCCTCCTTTTCCAAGCTACTGGTGTGCCCCTTCATGCACCGTGAGTAAACAAATAAACTTATTCTGAGTCTATAGGGAAGATAGACGTTGAGTTAATAAACCCAAGTGTTTTTCTGTAATATCGCATCAAAAACTCCTAGTTCTCCTACTCTTGATGATGTTAACAAACACAGGAGGCTTGGTGGGGCAGCCAGGAAACCACTATATAACGTTTTCCTCGAATGTAGGATATCTAGTGAATCTGACTCGTATCACTTTCTTGAGCAGCAGAAGGAGAATGTACATCGGCAGATGTGCTGCCTCAACTATGATTCACTCATACCAGACACAAAAAAGCCCTTCGTGGATAAATCTGATGCATTGTCAGGTATAGCTGACTCACAGATATAACGTGAGTTTATTGCGGTAAATAACGTAGGAATCTGGCATCTAGAACACTGAATAAACTCAATATTCAACCGGAATTTTCAGTATTCTATTGTGACTGTCGTGAAAATTTCAAAACCAGCGAAACCAAAAACAAACTATTAGAGACTTCATACGTCTGACGCTTGCAGAAAACCGTATTGCCTATTCAAATATGAAAACTATGCATATAGTATTGATTTATATTCTTTGTTGTGTAGCCAATAGTATTTTACGTTATAAGTCCGATGGGTGCGAGTTGTTTTACGGATGAGTATTGAGTTAGTAGTACAAATGTGTAATGTAATAACACCTAACGGAGTTTAGTATATTCGTATTCTTGGTTTTGTAGAACCCTGAGTTTCGAGATCAAACATACTTCCTGAAACAGATTGTTTCGAAAAAGCGATAACGAGATCGAATCAAAACAATTGTATTTACAATTATTATTTTTTCAATACGTTTTTTTCAGTTTTCAGAAAGTGTGGATCCCCAAAACCTCCAAAACTACTGGAACCAATTCAAACATATTTTTCATCTTCAGAAAAGTACATTATCAGTGAGTAACAGCGGATAATTTGGTTATGAATGATTAAAAATCTCTACAAAAATTGAAATAATCATTATTTGTGCTTGGTTGTCTTACAAATGCCTCACCGCCACCTAGTTCCATTTCAATCCAGAGTATTTTTGGAAGCCAAATCCAACAAAAAAATTTCAGAATCATAAACTTGATCACTGATCCGTCCCAGATTCGCATAGGAGCAATACAGGCTTGTTCTGTTTGGGCTGTCATGGACTACTTTGTTTGTGTTCTGAATAGGCCATGTTAATAACACCCCAAGCCTCCTAGGGAGCATTATGTCTATTAGCAGTCCGTCAGTCAACTTCAACCTGACATATTTTCTAGACGAATCAGGGTTGTAATTTCATATCTGAATGGCCCAACCTATGTACATCAAAAAGATCCCAATATTTCAGAGTGCTTTCAGCAATCATACCGCTTTCCAACAATTGGTCTTTAGTATTTCGATTTTGAAGTATAATCCAGTTCCACAGAATTCACTCAACACATTTTTGTAACAATGGACAAGCTCTGAAAATAAAACTCCTAGCTACTGGGATAATGAAATACACTCTATTGTAGAAAAGTGGTAAATCCACTTAATATCATAATTCAACTATCGGTTGACACTTTAAAAGTAGTAATTATTTACATAACGTTAATTTCCTGATTCAATTGGAATTTTCGAGACATTTAGCGTTTCCCACAGATTATTTCGTTCACTTAACATAACTTTGAACGTTTTCAGATCATCAGTTATAACAGCTTGAGAGGAGGAGTCAGCGTATCCACAGAACGGGGAGAAATAAGTAGAAGTGTACTCCTCATCCAGAAAGCCAGACCATCAGACTCGGGAAACTATCAATGTAACCCTTCCAATGCTAGGCCGGCCAATGTTACCGTACATGTGTTGAACGGTAAGTTCGGATACTTTCAATATTTCTAGAAATGGTCAATGCTCTTGTAATGTGTATAAGTAATGTATTTCTTCTTCAAAAGTCGATACTTGTTCTGAACGACGATTTTTAAATGTATATGTCACTGGTTTCGAAGTAGTGACGTAATTGTAAATTTTTTTGAATTATAGGTCTTGTGATCTTCATCTGAAAAGTATTCCAAAACCACATTTAGTGGTGATCATTAATTTGACATCTTTCTACTGAATGACCAAAAATCAATTTTATTTCACAGCGAGGATAACTTCATATCCAACAAAATACAACAGTTAAATGAGATGTTGAAACTGCCATTCACCAGTCTCTTCACTCAGCGCAATAAAGTCACAAATACAATAACAAATGAAAAATACAAGTACTATAAGAAAAGGAAAAGATAATATCGACATTGTTAATACTATTTACAAACATAAGACCATCATCAAAGGAAAGTATTCAATATTTATGTTTCGCAAACAAGTTTTCCAAAAATTTAAGTGAATCATCAATATCTATGTTTTCTCTGACAAAAATTCAATAATAAGACTCGTTTTGACAAACCTTTTCTTCTACGAGTATCTATATCAATCGCCAATTTCTTCTATTGTATGCTTTTATAAATACATGTAATTTAGTGAATGATAAACTGTATCTACAGATACATTCCCTTCGCACATTGCGAATAACTTCTAAGGTAATTCTGCTAATTTCGACCTCAATTCGAATTTTCAACTCCTCTAAATTTTGCGGTTCACATAAATATAAAGGTTCGATTTCAAATAATCCTACAGGAAAAAATCTAGTGGTTGATCTGGAGATCTTGGAGACCACTCCATCGTCCGCATCTACCAATCCACCTCCTAAGGAAACAGATATTTAGAAACTCGCAACCACATACTTTCATCCAGTCAGCTAGGATTGTTTACATTTGGAAAAATACTGTCTAGGTAAAGTATAAGTAACGCTTCCTTGTGACAGTTCCTTCAAAAATAAAGGCCAACAATTCTGTCTTTCAATATCCCTGCCCCAAACATTGACTTTCTCAGGGTGTTGAATATGCTCCTCAATCATCCAATAAGGATTTTCCCTGTTCTAATAATATGAAAATAACGCATTTTTTGTATATTTTAAATGCAATGAAAATTTTGCACCTATGCTGTTTGATGGAATTTCTGACTTAACAATAAAGCTATTAGGAAATTGCATCAGATGAGTTTGTAGGCCAGTCTTCTGATAACAGAATATTTGATCAAAACAATGTTGCAGAAAAATTCAATCAGCGGGTTCATTTCGATCTTTTTCATCAGGAAACAATAAATAATAACCAACTAAATCAGAATCGGGAGAAGAATTTAGTTCACCCAAAAGGTTCATGTATCGATCAAATTCCAGAACTCCGATGTTGAACTTTGTCTATTCACTTCCGCTCTCTTTCTTTCAATGTCGTTTCTGAATAGCCCAATAACTGAAATTCATTCAATTGACCTTACGAAACAACGATATTTTCAATTAAGCAAGGATTTGCACTAATGAGTTTCAGATTGCAAATTTTGTTTCCAGTTCAACTTCATTGAATAGCAAAGAAGGAAGGATTTACTGATTTTCGCTAAACAAAATACGTATTCCTTCCATGATTTCTGCTTCTGTTCTCAAATCCAGCTCTCATTGAAACTTTGCTTTTCAGTTTTTGGGTATTCCATTTCTTTTTCTATTTCTTGAGTCATGAAATAAAAGCATATTGTGTTTGACATTAATAATGAACAATTAGCATTCATCTGACGAAAACCCTTTATCTTCACCCGGATCCGAGTACTGTCTCTCAGATGCGTGTTTCGTCAACCAAATCAGCCTCATCAGGAGATGTCAGTAATACTGCTTCAGCTCTGATGTGGTGTTTTCATTAAATTCGATTCAGGCCAGCAGTTTCGATTCTCTTTTTTGTTTCTTTGACATTTCTATGAATTTTTCAACGTGACCTATTCGAATATATGCAATTCTCAACACATTTTGGTAGAAATATTAATTGTTTATAAGTTGATCAAGTTGTATCCACTATAGAGAATCAATCGGTGTGTCGCAAGTGTTACTTTTTGATTTTAACCATTAAATTTTGTGTCGCGTGCCTTCAATGATGGTGGCGATCTATGTCGAAACTTGGTTTTGCAATGAATCGTTTTAGAGAAAATTATGTTTGAGTTGCCGTTCGATTTTCAAATATCTTTCACAGTAATCTACGAAACAAGAAAAGGGTTCAGTTTGTTGCAAATATCCGAAAAATTAAAAAATTATCATAATTATTGCAGTTATTGAAAACATCTTTTCTCCACCCATTAAATATGAATAATGAGTAATGGAAAATCAGTTGTTGAATAGTTGAACAATTAATGATATCCGATAAAAAATATTTATAGGAATTTTCCTCTCAACAATGTTTTCATTTATTCATCAACTGTTTTTTCCGAATTGGAAGTTCTCCCAGAAATCTTGATAATTTTTGAAGTTGGAGCCTGAATATTTTGCTTTTTCATAGATAGTTTGCAACAATTTCTCATTGAGAAGTTGTTGAAAACGTATATATAGCATTGGGAAAAAATTTCCCCAATATCCCCATTGTGTAGTTTTGTTATTGACAAACAAAAAGTACATGAATATAATTCTCATTCATTTTTTATCCTCATCATTTAAAAATTTGATATAAACATGTGTATTTTTCGCGAGATGAAAAAAAAGTTGTTTTGTACTAAATGGCATGTGTCATTCCAGGGCACTGTTTCAGGGCCAATCTCATTTATATTATATTCGAATGATATGTTATCCATTGATATTTCTGGAAAAGTGGTCTCATATGCTGATGATACAGTACTAATAATTGATGGAGCAACCTGGGAAGATGTAAAATCTCATATAAGAAACGATATTGACACTATAGTAAATTGGCTTGATGATAGTTTACTGACAATAAATATTGATAAAATATATTATATTTCATTTTGTAGTAACAGTCATGGTTTTCCCAATGCACAAAACATAAATATTCATTTAATTATCAGAACTGATCTTCAGCCTTTCCCGTTTGAGTAAATGTTCACATTTATTTTTTGTATCATTCTGGGAATGAAGACCTATTATTATTATTATCTATTATTAAAAAAGAACATAGCTTTAAAAAATCCAGTTTAGTAAAATATCTCGGAACACACATTGACCATAATCTTAATTGGAAAATACATGTAGACTATCTTTGTGGAAGACCCTTTTGTATGTTTTCGAACACTTAAAAATATTTTGAGTATCAATGATTTGCGCAGTGTATATTTTCCGTTAGTTCAGTCATTCTTAATGTATGGAGTTCTAGGATGGGGTGACAACCGCTCATGGTAGTACAGAAATGATTTCTCAAAATTACCTATAATTTAAATTTTCGTTTTTCATCAGCACAAATATTCCAATATTGTGATCTGATGAGTTCCTTCTGAATTCTACTGAATTAATGTCTCAATATTCATATATATTTTTCATCCCTACCTAGCATTTTGAAAACTTTTAATTTAAGATGAGTTTGTATTTTATATTGTAACATTTATATTTTTATACGTTCACACATTCAAATTTTTACGTTATATATGTTTTACGTTATGTACAAGTTTGGAGATTTTATACTTTTGGATTTTATATTTAATCTGTCTTTTTTGTAGTATACTCAGAAAATTATTCACTTTTTTTAGGAAAAGAAAATATCGATATATTTAATAATGTTTACAAATATAAGCACTGAATTGTTTTGCCCGAGTAACTCAAAATACAGTATATCTCGACTATCTTCAAAGGAAAGAATTTCGATATTGATGTTTCGCAAACAAGTTTCCC